ATAGATAAATCCACTCTTATAGCTGGGCACTTCAATTCCTCTCTGTTACTATTGGACAGATCCAACAGGCAGAAAATCAGTAAGGACATAGTTGAACTAAACAGCACCATTAATCAAGTAGATATAATTGACATTTATAGAATACTTCATCCGACAATAACAGAATACATATTCTTCTCCAGCTTACACAGAACATTCACCAAGACAGATCACATTTCTGGGCCATGAAACACAACTTAACAAATCTAAAAGAATAGAAATCATACAAAGTATGCTCTTAGGACACAATGGAATTAAACTATAAGTCAATAACAGAAAGATAGCTGGCAAACCCCCAAATACTTAGAGTTTAAACAACACACTTTTAAATAATACATGGGCCACAGGAAAAATATCAAGAAAAATTAAACAATATTTTGAACTAAACCAAAATTAAAATTTATGGGATGCAATGAATGCAGTACTAAGAGGGAAATTTGTGTCATCGAATTCACATATTAGAAAAGAATAAATATCTAAAATCAATAACCTAACCTTCCACCTTAGAAAACTATAAAAAGAAGAGCAAATTAAACCCAAAGTAAGCAGAATAAAAAAATAAATAAAGCTGGATATATAATATTGGAAACAGAAAATAAATAGAAAAAATAACTAAAATCAAAAGCTGGTTCTTTGAAAAGTTCATAAGCCTCTGAATAGGTTAACAAAGAAAAAAAAAGGGAAAAGATACAAAGTACTAATATCAGTAATGAAAGAGGGGTCATCATTAATGGTCCCATGGACATGGTCCCAAGGATAATAATGGAACATTCTGAATAAGTCTATGCCCATAAATTTGATAAAATAGGTGAATGAACCGATTCCTTAAAAGACAATTTGCTAAAATTCACATAAGGAAAAATCTATGATCTGAATAGGTCTGTATTTATTAAAGAAATTCAATCAATAATTAAAAACTTGTCAAAACATAAAGCACCAGGACCAGATGAGTTCACTGTGGAATACTACCAAATATTCAAGGAAAAAAATATATACCAATTCTCTATACAATTTATTTCAAAAAACCAAAGCAGAGGATATATTTCTCAATTCATTCTATGAGGTGAGCATCACCCTAATATCAAAACTGGACAAAGATATTACAAGAAAGGAAAACTAAGACTGATATCTCTCATGAACATGCAAAAATTATCAACAAAATATTAGCAAATAATATCCAACAATATATAAAAAAGAAAAATACATTGTAAGTGAGTCTGACTTATTCCAAGTATGCAAAGCTGGTTCAACATTTGAAAATCAATTAATGCAATCTACCATACCAACAGACTAAAGAAGAAAAATCATATAATCCTATCTGTACATGCAAAAAAGAGCACTTCACAAAAACTAACACCTATGCATGATAAAAATTACCAGCAAACTAGTAATAGAGGGGAACTTCTTCAACTGGATGAAGAACATCTACAAACAAACAAACAAACAAACAAACAAACAAACAAACCAAAACAAACAAAAACCTACAGTTAACATCTGGTGAGAAACCAGATATTTTCCTGCTAAAATCAGGAACAAGGCAAGGATGCCCCTTCTCACCACTCCTACATTATATCACAGTGGAAGTCCTAGAGAGTGCAATAAGACAAGAAAAGGAAATAAAAGAATACAGATTGGGAAGGAGGAAATAAAACTGTCTTTGTTTGCAAATGATGCATTTGATACATAGATAATCCTAAAGAATCAACAAAATAAAAATAACAACAAAAGCCTCCTGAAATTAATATGCAATTATTAAAAGATTACAGAATACAAGGTTAATACACAAAAGTCAATTGCTTTCTTGTATACCAGCAATAAAAACTTAGGATTTAAAATTAAAAACACAATATGTTTATATCTACACCAAAAATATGTGAAATACTTAATTATCAATCTAACAATATATGTACAAGATCTATATGAGAAAAAGTACAAAACTCTGATGAAAGAAATCAAAGAAAATTTAAATAAATGGAGAGATCTTCCATGTGCATAAGCAGAAAGATTAAATTTATCAAGATGTTAATTCTTCCCAAATTGATCTATACCAGAGGTTGGCAAACTGAGGCTCGCGAGCCACATGAGACTCTTTGGGTAAGTACGTTCAGTCTCAAAAGTTTGCCAACCCCTGGAAGAGCCAATCCTGTCCCTCTCACAACAATTTAAAAATTGTTTGAGAGCCATAAATATATTTTCACATAATCACCATTATGTGAATAATATCTTTTAAAAATTTTGCAAATGAAACTAAGATAGTTTTATTTTCATTTTCAATTTTACTTCAGAGCCACAGTTCGTGAGGTGCAGTTTGCTAAATCCTGGTGGCTCATCCGTCTCAAAAGTTTGCCAACCCCTGATCTATACAGTACAAAAATATTTTTTCTGGATATGGAATAAATGAGTCTGAAGTTTATATAGAAAGGCAAAATACCCAGAATAGTCAATGCAGTACTAAAAGAAGAAAGAAAGAAAGAAGAAAGAAAGAAACAAACAAACAAACAAAGAAAGAAAGAAAGAAAGAAAGAAAGAAAGAAAGAAAGAAAGAAAGAAAGAAAGAAAGAAAGACAAAGAAAGAAAGAAAAAGAGAAAAACCTTCTGCTCTGCTAAAGATATTAAGAGAATGAAAAGACAGGTCACAGCAGACTGGAAGAAGGTATTTTCAAGACACATACATGTATCTGATAGTGGACTGGTACCCAAAATATAGAAAAAAAACTGTTAAAACTCAACAAAAAGAAAATAACTTAATAAATAGGAAAAAGATCAAAGCAAACACCTCACCAAGGGAGATACACATATGGCAAATAATCATATGAAAAAATGCTGAACATCATATGTCATTAAGGAATTTCAAATTAATATAAGATACCACTATACACCTATTAAAATAGCTAAAACCCAAAACATTGAGAACACCAAATCTGGCCAGAATGATGTGAAGTAATCAGAACTCACGTTCATTGTTGCTGGGAATGAAAAATAATACGTCACTTTGGAAGACAGTTTGACAATTTCTTACATAACTAAATATATACTTACCATAATATCCAGGAATTGTGCCCATTGGTATTTTCTCCAATGAGCTGAAAGCATATGCCCACATAAAAATTTGCACATGAATATTTATAGCAGCTTGATATACAATAGCCAAAACTTGGAAGCAAACAAGATGACCTTCAATAGATGAATGAATAAATATTGTGGTACATCCATACAATGGAATATTATTCAGTGGTAAAAAGAACTGAGCTATCAACCCATGAATAAACATGAAGGAAACTGAAATGTATATTACTAAGTAAACAAAACCAATCAGAAAAGGTTATATACTGCGTTATTCCAACTATATGACATTCTGGAATAGGCAAAACTATAGAGACAGTAAAAGATCATTGGTAACCAGGGGTTTGGGAAGAGGAAAAGTTAAGAGCAATAGGCAGAGTACAGGGGATTTTCAGGGCAGTGAAACTCTTCTATGTGATACACTAATGGTGGATACAAGCCATTACATGCCATTATACCTTTGTCCAAACCCATAGAATGTACAATACAAAGAGTGAAATCTAATGTACTATGGGCTATAGTAATGTATTCATATTGGCTCATCCATTGTAACAAATGTACTACACCAATAAAAGACATGTGTACAAAACTATGTATGTGTGGAGGGGAAGTTATGAGAAGATATATGAGAACTCTCTATTTTCTGCCCAATTTTTCTGTAAATATAAAACCATTCTAAAAAATAAAGTCTACTAAAAAAAAAGATAGAACATGGTAAAAACTAGCAAACCAAAAATGAAAACCTTCTATATAATAATCTAATGTGGAATATTAAGAAAATAAGGTTTTTACAAAATCACACATACATATTCAAACAACAATCACCCAAATTATCTACTAATATTTTGGTCTTCACAAAGGCAGGCAATAAAAAGCAGAAAATCACTCTTCAGAGTACTTGCCAATTGTATATGGCATAAATCATAATAAAGCATCACAGATAAAATATGCTCATTTGTGAAGTCAAATGAAAAAAAACAAAAAACCATCATATCACTTTGTCCTTAAATAACAGAGGTAATCTTTTGTGCCTCTCCCAGCCAGCTATGGATTCCAAGAAAACAGTAACCGATGGTAACGATTAATTCTAAAGATGAGTGTTTCATTGTTTAGTAATTTAAGTACTATTGAACAACATCTTAAATTGGAAGAAACTTGGCAATATACCAGTGCCTCCATTTAAGACCTTCTGGGAGAAAATTAAACAAATATTATGAGCTTACATCATGATGTTTTATACTGCATTTTAAAATAAAACAATTACAAGTAATTGTAAATCCTAAACTATTGCTTTTAAAAGTTTTAATTTATTCCCTTCTATGAGTTTGTAATTCTAATTGTTACTGCGCAAGTTAATAGTTTTATCAAATCAATGCCAAAGAAAACAGTCTTGGGTTAACTTATTGATATTATTACTACTATAAAAAAATCTACATCTCACATGTAAAAGAACCTTCTTAATCATGAAAATAAACTAAACAAACAAAAACAAAGGAAGTTTAAAAAACATAAAAATTATGAAAAACTATATTTACATAATTCCTATCACAAATTCAATAGTGAACTTGGTTATCATTATACTAAAATTGTCTTTTGTTATTATAGTAACAATCAACATTTTGTTTTAACTGGTTGCTATTTGATAAGATGTGTAAATATATGACTTATCCTACATAGTTGCACTCCAATTGTGCTAGAATTCAGAGCATTGCCTGGTCTATACTTAGGAATTTTTATAACTGAAATTGAAAAGTTCTCAAATGAAACTGCTAACAACCCAAATCCCAAACCTCATTACAACAGGGAAACCCTTTGTAGAAAATCATAAAGAAACCTTATAAAATTATACTGTACAATATTTAAGTTAATCAAAGATATAAACATGGAAGGCCTCCTACCTTAACATAGCATTTTTTCCGTCACTTCTTGTACACCAAACCTGCCGGGTTTGATAACCTATCTCTAGGTCCCAGGGCTTGGAATGGTGATGTGGTTTGTAACTTTGATGTCTAAAGGTGACTCGCTCCTTTGAATCAGAGCTAAAATCCAGAACACTTCTTCCACTTAGGTTAATTTCCTTAAGATGAGGCAGTGTACATTTACTCCATGGTCCAACTTTAAGGCTAAAAGTATATTCCTGTTCCCCAAGAGGACAGGACACGGGAGCATCACAGGCTCTTGACTCAGTCAGATTGGGACACTGTGAACCTCCATAGAGAGGGGGAGCAATGGCCACACGAGTTCTGTGCTGCAATTGCTTTCCACATCCGTTGCTACACTTGGACCATTGTGAGAACTCAGATACAACACAATCACGGGGGCAAGGAATGAGGCAAGCTTGTTCTGTGGGGGGCTGAGGGGCAAAGTGTTCACATATTTCATTTACAACTATGGTTCTGTTCAACTTCTGAATACAGTGCACAGTCCGGTGCTGCAGTCCATGCTGAGCTGTCACGCAATCTGCAGTCCGAGGCTTGGCTTGGCCTAGGGCGTTAGGAACAAGCACACAGTGGTGCCAGTCAGAAACCTCCCACCGGAAGAGGTCGCTGTGCCAGTCACAGACACGGAAGCAACTTCTTTCCTTTGGAGGCCTGTTGTTTTCATCACAGTTAGACAGGTGACTTGTCCACCCTTCAAAGTGGAAACACCACAGTGCACGAGTTTGGATTCCTCCTGGCCCACAATCTCCTGTACACCTTCCCCAGGGACCTACAGGCAGAAAAACAAGGGTGTCAATTTACTCAGATTCCATTCCGCCATCCACACAAAAATGGGTCAACCTGCACACTTCCCAAGATAGCCATGTGACATTATGAATTTTGGTGGGCAGTATAATTTAGTGGTTGAGAATATAGACTCTCCATCAATTTTCCTTTGTTGAAATTCCCGTTATATCTCTTACCAGCAATGTGAACTTGGACAAATTATTTCAACTTTCTAAGCCTTAATTTCCTTAACTACATAAGGGAGAAGTTAATACAAGCACTGACTTATAGAGCATTTCTGAGGATCAGTGATATAATGTGGTGCCAAGTAGACAATACACGCTTAAAAAATGACTGGAATCATTGTAATTATTATGTTCCAAAGCCTATATATCTAACTCGATATTAATACTTTCTAGTTAGGCAGAGTTTCATTTAAAATAAAAGTCCTAATTCCAGGTTTTAATAAAGTAGGATTTATCATGTTTCCAATTCTTCAGGTCATACCCTAAATAGCTCGGAAGAGAAATAAGTTATAAAAAATAATAATAATAACCTGCCAAAGCATCTTAAATATATTTTCATTTTGTAAGCAGTTGTGCACAGTTTTCATTTATGCTTGCAGAGTGGACTGCATTTAAAAAAAGAAAAACTCTGATTCATGCAGGGGGGAGAGGAGGAAGTCAGGTAATAAAAGAAGTAGCAGTAAATTGCCTATGGAAATCCTGCTCCTATAATCCGTGAAATATATCCATTTTGATTTCTGATAGGTATTGACTCCAGGTAAAGCTTCCAACATAAGTTTGTAACATGCCAAATCTTTAAATCAATGAGTTAGTTTTTTAGGGAAAGAGTCCAAGAAATGGACAGATGAAAAAGCTGCCAATTGATGTTTCTCACATTTTTTTTTCTACGTCTAATCTATAAACATACCAGTTGGCTTATCCAGAAGGCTGAGCATATATCTTTTCACAAGGATAAACAATCCTATTTTGTGTCAATAGGAGAAAAAAAAATGTTTCCTCTATTTCACTTTACTTAAGTATGTAATATGAAATTGAAAAAAAGTTTATCAGCTGAATCATGTAACCTTTGCCCCCATACTAGGGTTGTGATAATCATAAAGGCAATTCATACCCCGAGAAACATTTTAATTTACATGGATGACAGAAAGGAGGTCCAGTCTTTCTCTTCCCCCAAATCTGATCAAACACTCACAATGCCATTTAATTATTTATTTCATGGAACCTATTTTCATGCACATTCATTACATTTCTAGGAAGAGTAAATGTGTACACAGTACTATATGCATTTAGGAAGAAACATATGCATCCCCAGAGAAATAAGTATTTCTGTTTGGAGCCACATGCTATAATGAGAGTCCATCACTTTAGCAGTACAATGGTTTTGGGGTTCTAATATACAGTCTTCCCAGTTCTTCCTCATAACTTTTTTCTGGATATGCAAACCTGACATTTTAGACAATACCATGTTAGTCAATAGTATCAATGACTTCTGTCACTTTGTGAGAAACATTAACATAGAAAATACCCTCTCTTCTTTCAGTACCCCCACACTAGAGTCTCCCATTGCTGAAATGGACAGAGAAGATTCGTTGGAGTAACTCAGCTTTTACTCACCAAAATGCCCTTGGGTTTGTCATACACTCCCCCAGGCATGTTGTCCCAGTGTTTCTCATGGCCCAATAAATGCACGTGGAAACTGGTGCTCTCAGCACAAACTGATTTAATTAACTGCACTGGTGCTTTCCTCCTAGATCACCCACAATTCTGTACTTTATAATACTGAGGTCTTCATTGTGATATGAAAGTTATTTGCAGGCTTCACATTCCCATATGTTCTGGATCACTTTTAATTTAAATATGCCATCCGTTGTCCATCATATGACTATAAATGCAAATTTTTATTACCAAAAAAAAAAATCACCATGATTACTCAGTAAAGAAATTTCAAAAAAATATATATATATGATTGTAAAACTCTTTTAAAATCTAAAATCAGCCTTGAGTTATATAAAACAGTTATTGAATAAAATGAAAGGAAGCTTTGTGTAAAACACTGGATCTTAAAGGAATGGCTGTCAGTTTATCTCTATTTATTTAGGTATTAAATATAAACAACTTTTCACTTAGATTTCTTTTTTGTGAATATTGAAGAAAGATTAGAAATGTTGAGCTATTTCTAACCAACTTGAAAAAGTTAATATTAAATTTAATTCATCTAGAACACCTTACAATGTGATCCTTCCTACTTTTAAAGCATTTGACTAATGAATTTTGTTATTATTAAAATGTTGTTTTCTTCTTATAGGTTTTTCCCCTACCTTCAAAATTGTGAAGGTAGCTCATTTTTGTTCTTTGGAATCATTAATATTTTAAACATTATATGCTACTGATTCTTTCCTTAGCTTTCACATCCTCCATCTATACAGAATTTTACCAAACAGGAAAAAATTTCCCAGGTCAATGGAAGGCAAAAGATAACTATTAAGAAATAATTATTACCATTTATTGAAGGTTAGCAGTTGTGCGCTGGGCTAGACTGGTACCAGGGTACTGTTAAATACTTAGAAACTTTATCAGGTGGCTGTTAAATAATTCATAGTTGGAAATTAACCACGGTGGCAGGATTTATACCAAACTACAAATCAAGGCAAATCAAGATTTATTTTCCTTTCTTTCTTCCTTCCTTCTTTCTTTCCTTCCTTTCTTCCTTTCTTCCTTCCTTTTTTAAACAAGAGCCAGTATATAGTACACCACTCTTGACTTGCCCAGTGCCTGTCTCCCTTCCTTCCTTCCTTCTTTCCTTCCTGTTCCTTTCAACAGTCCTATGTGGTGAGGCTAGGGAGCACATTTTATTAATTGGAGAAAATAAAGTTCAGCGAAGTAACAGAGCACACCCAATGTTACACAGGCAGTACATGGTTGACTAGAATGGGACTCCAGGTCTGTGTGACTCCAAGCTTGGTCTCTTGCCCTATATGTGAAAAGAGCCTTTTCTTCCAGTCAAGATGGCAGAGTAGGTAAGTGCTGTGCTTGCCTCTTCTCGTGACCACTTCAAAATTACAACTAAACTATAGAACAACCATCATGGAGAATTCCCTGAAGTCTAGCTGAACAGAAATCCTACAACTAAGGACATACAGGAGATGCCAACTCCAGAATGTTAGGAGGGGCTGGTCCTATACTCATGTGTAGCAGGTAAAAATTGGGAGGCATGCCAGCTCCACACTGGCCCCACCAGCCCCGGGTTCTAGTGCCAGGGAGAGAAGCCCCATAACCTCTAGGTGTAAAAACCAGCAGAGATTGAGGCTGAGTGAGACCAAGGGTTGCAGAAGTCCCAGTATTCCTCTTAAAGAGCCCATGCATGGACTCAATTGGTGACAGACTCACTTGCTTTAACCCAGCGGTTCTCAACCTTCCTAATGCCGTGACCCCTTAATACAGTTCCTCATGTTGTGGTGACCCCCAACCATAAAATTATTTTCATTGCTACTCTATAACTGCAATTTTGTTACTGTTATGAATTGTAATGTAACTATTTTTTTGTTTTACGATGTAAGTATCTTTTTGTCTTAGGCGACCCCTGTGAAAGGGTCATTCAACCCCCAAAGGGGTCACGACCCACAGGTTGAGAACCGCTGCTTTAACCTCCAGCACTGAGGCAGCAGCTCAAAAGGCACCAGGGAGGTATGGGAGGAACTGAGTTATCCGGCTTCAGGGAGAGGGCTGGAGGGGCAGCTTTCTCCCAGGCAGAAATGCTAGCAGAATCCATTGTTTCTTTGTGCACCCCCCCCCGCCTTTCTAGTGTGCAGACACAGGCAGTTGCCATATCTGAGTCTCCATTAACCTGGTTAACACCATTCACCCCACTCTGGTGATTCCCTGAAACCCTACTGAATTCAATTTCTGGGTAAACCCAAGCCACTTTCAGTGGCTTTTCCACACGAATGGCATGTCTTGGCTCATGCTGTAGAATATCCTAAAATCTCTCAAAGTTACACAAAACCCAAACAAGTAGCATATGTTGGATTGTCTCATACCCCATGCTGATCAGCCTAAGACTGGTGCTAGCAGCCAGCCTCAGTTTGTAGCTTGGCCTCTCAAGGTACCTTCAAGCCCAGCACAAGTGGCAGTCATCTGCACATTGCTTATTGGCTCATGCCAGGTGGCACCAGGCAGGGCACAGGCTGCAACTGAACTTGGGCTGTGGGGGTCCCCTTCCAGAAGGACATAGGTTTGGCACACCTGGTGGCCAGCTTCAGAATGAGCTGGAGTATCACCTGGCTGCCTCCAAGGACAACACACCCAAAGGGCAAACAGGGCAGACACCAGAGACCTGCTAAAGTGAATCCTGCTCCATAGGGTCAGCCCCTGCATAATAACGCCTCCACTGTAGCCATGGCCATTCCTCACAATCAGCCTGAGGGTCAGTCCCTCCCATTGACATGCAAAGAGCAAACAAGGCTCGACTACAACAGGAGAGCACACACATACTACGAAGTTACACACCTGGAGCAACTGGTTCAGGTGACCAGGGAGACTGTGCCACTGGGCCCCACAGGACACCTACTACATAAGGCTGCACTACTAAGTCAAGGAGACATAGCAGCACTACATAGAAACAAACACAGGGAGGCAGCCAAAATGGGGAAACAAAGAAACTTGTCCAAAAATAATAATGATAATAATAATAATAATAATAATAATAATAATAAGCTCCAAAAAAACAACTAAACAAAATGCAGACAAGCAATCTACAAGACAGTGTTCCAAAACTGGTTATAAGAATGCTCAATGATCTCAGGGGGAACTTCCACAAAGAGACAGGAAACAGGAATGGAGATAGAAAACATAAAATACAACCAGTGAGAAATAAGGAAATCAATAACTAAAATGAAGAACACACTAGAGAGAACCAACAGTAGATTAGATGAAGCAGAGGATCGAATCAGCAATTTACAAGACAAGGTAAGAGAAAACA